TATGAAAAACGCTACTTTAATACACGGCTTTGTACACCTTACAGCAGTTAAATATGGTTTTGCGGAAAATACGACTTCACGCGATGTGGTGCTACGTTCTCGCCAGGCACCATAACAGCAGACCTGCAGTCTGTTCAGATAAAGTAATGGCGGTGGAAGTCGCATGCAGAGGATATCCGTGCTTACGCTACAAATGTCGTCACGCTAGCTAAGAGAAACAAGTCTTTCGTGGCAGATTCTTCCTCCATTGGCGTGATCTAGTTACACCAAGAAGGTCAGCCATTTCGAAAACACATTTTTATAGCAGGTATTCTGTAAACAGGAATCTCCAGCTGAACACCTGTTCAACATGCATAAGTATGAGCCATATTTGAGAGAGGTGAAGATGTCGCCTGTAGCCTTCTGGATTGTGACGTGGTTCCTAGCGTTTCGGAAGAACGTACAAGACACCCACGACGCAACCCAGAAGATCACAGTATATTTGCTTAGATTTATTATATTCCGTGAGGGAACGAGTGTCAACGAAAGCCAGCTTCGAATTTGAAAGGTCTCGGATTCGGATTTTGACCCACAGACCGACTAATCTCATCGAATACCTTCGTGTATTTTCTCAGTCCCCACAGGAAAATGTTGGATAAACCTGCCTACTTCCACACACTTTCTATTGCTTAATTAATAATATTTATTCCATTTTACACCATATAAGGGAAAAGCATCGTTAGGCGATGGAAGAACAACGAAAGATTATGGGTGAATAAAAATTCAATGGATATTATTCAAGGTCATAAGTGGAGATGGCACAAGGTCTTGAAGGAAAAGGTAATGTATTTATCTATCTCCATACAGAATAATCGTTTTTCTTGGAAAGCTAATAGTCGTTCAGCTGGTGAAAACTTTACCCCCTACATTTTTATGGAGCATAAAGAGTCAATACCAAGTTCATAAGATTCTGTCCTTAGCTAAATTATGTAATCCAAGCCCTATCACCGAATTTCTGCAAGATTCATTTTAATATTAATCCTTCATCTACACCTAAGTCTCCCAAGTGGCCTCTACTCTTCAGGTTTCAAATCAAAATTCTGCACACATTTCTCTTCTGTATGTAAATCCTCACCTACAGGTCAGCTTCGCGTCTTGTGGGTTTGTCTTCAGGAAGGAACCCACTGTGATAAGCAAGTCCGACTGAATTCGTATATGCATATTCTATAGAAGACATATGCAATTATAAGAAGTAATTTCCTAACATATATTTCTTATTCTTGGTTTATTTAAAGAAAAGATAATTAGGAAAACGTTCAAGTTACGAGGCTCCTCCTGTCTCTTAATACCAAATATTTTTCTCAGGACTTCGTTTTCAAATAGGCCAACTGGCCCACTCTAAGTTTATTTAGTCAGAAAAGAATAATTCTGAAAATGTAAGTAACTGCAAGGCAGAACTTCAAGTAACATAATACTTCAGTGCCAAGTATAACATCTGATGACGACAGAGAAGAATATTACGTCACGGATTGCATGATCACCTCCTATTGGACCGCCCGCTCTTATTTAAGGAACGGGTTCAGAACCTCGAGTTTTATCGTAACTTCTTATCATTAGCCATACTACCTCACGCTATGTCTCAACAGAATCTGATAGTGACGTCACTTTGCCCGCCTACTCCAGCATTCCACGATTTATAAAAGCCACTATCTTTTCTCTACGTTCTGCTTCGATATGACACTACCAAGGATGTAATAATACAGCCATGATCCTTTCACATACGAGGTGCGATCGAAAGGTTTCCAGACTGCGCGTATAAAAACCCGTACACTTATCTCAGGTATTAAATTCATCCATCACCCTCGAAGTAGTTCCCCTGGGAGTGAACACAACGA